GTTTACAAAACACTTACGTAATTTTTTAATTTTCAGTCTTATTCGAAATGTCCTGGATGTCTTAAAGTGTTCAGAATATGTACAAAATGTTCTACTATTGATCAAATATTACAAAAGTTAAAATAGTAAAACATAATTGTAAATCATATTTTAATTTATGAGAAATATTTTTTACAAAATTTTACCTGTATCATTTTCTGTTAGATGATATATCTTTTTGGGAATTACATATAACACAATTTTCCTGAAAAATAAATTGAAAAATGTATGAAAGGTAAAAAGCATTTTAAATTATTTAAAACTTAAAATACATACCACTACTTCGAAATTTGGTAAACAATCTTCATGAAACGAATGTTTACAATAAAATACAACTAGATTCCTTGGTTCTGTAATAAATAATATGTAATAATTAAAATAACACTAATATTATATTTAAATTAATAATTTATAATTTAATCATTTTTTTAATGGATACCTTTTACAATTATTTTTCTATGGCAAGCTCCACACATTTGGTCATCTAAGAAGAAAGAACTATAATTATTAGTAATGAAATTTTTTACAACCGATTCATAATTATAATCGTTCAATACTAACCATCTATAAATATTCCTCTTTGATAACATTTAACTAGCCTTTCATGTAAATTAAAATAATCATTGGATAAAATTTTTTTACATCCTTCTTGTACCGACACTTGAAGATTATAATCACACATCATCTTGACTAAAGCTTTCTTTAAACCAGGAATTTCTAAAGACGGTTCTATTCTTTGTACCATGAGTCTAGGATCGACATAAGTGCCTATTTTTTGCAATAAAAATGTGATAGCCTCTGAAAGAAATAGTTTATAATTAATTAATGAATAATTTAATTCAGTCATAGTTATAATTTTTACTTAATAATAATCCATATGTATGTGTACATGAAATATTAAATATTAAATATAGTTTTTTATTACTCACGAGGCTTATCAAGAGAATAAATAATTAAATCATTCCACAATTCCTCGTCATCGTGTTCTTGACAAAATGCGATCGCGCTCTGCATATCATTCAATTCTCTAGTCATAAGTGCTAAAGCTTCAGAAGTATTTCCAATTCTACCAAGTAAATATACCATTTCTGGATAAAATTTTCGCTGGCTACAAATATCTAGCGCTTGCTGTATTGGATAATTATCAGAACGACGTAGAAGTGGTAACAATTTATCTCTTGAATAATTAGCATAAAGTTGAACCAACAATCCATGGTATTTTCCTTTCGTATCTTTTTTATCTAATGCATCTAAATACTGTTAAGATGTATTTGAACTATAGTTACTATTAAAAAGAAAATTATTATATTTATATTGTATTTGCTTTTTATATCTTACCAAATATAAATATCGATGATTATGTTGCAATTTTTGTACAACAATATCAGATGGCACTCTGTCCTTTTCTAAAAAAAATTGTATAGCACGTTCCGCATCTAGATCCATTAAACCTTCTATCATATCATAAACGGTATTATACAATTGATATTTCTGAATAAGTTGAAATACATCTTTATGTCTTAATTTTAAATACATGGCTAATGCTTTGTCGTATTTTTCATCGTGAATATATAGAATTGCTAAAGCTTCTAACAATACATTTTGTCGTTGATTATGAATTAGAAGATGTTCCAAAACACCATTGACAACAGCTGCAACTTTATACAATTTAGGAGACCATTCTTTGACTAGTTGAAGAAATCCATCAGGATCCATTTTCAAATATTCATAAAGAACCATTTCGTAAATCAATGGATCTAATGTGACATCACCTCTTGGAAGATAAGAAGAAATAGACCGTAATTGATGAACTCTTGCAAATTTGTATACCTATAAAATAAAATTACTTAATAAAAAATGTACATGAAACTGGGATATCATAATTTAAAAAATAACACTAACTTCTTCCTCCCATAATTTTTTATCCTTTCCTAAAATTTTAGAACAGAGTTTTCCTGCTTCATCATATTTCCCACAAGCCAACAAATGATCTAAGTATACACGGCCAACAAAAACTAAAGTGTATTTTGTACAGTCTTTGCCATTATTTATTGTTACTGCCTCTAATGCTTGTTCAAATTTACCATGACATAATAACCACTCAATTCTATCATCTGCATCATATAAACTAGCTACAACAATATCTTTTGGACTTACAATAAAAAACCTAAACATAAACATATGAAAAGAAGATTAGTCTCGAACTAATGAATTTAATGACAATAAACTAAATACCTGTTTTCTTCTTTCAAACAATCTAAATGATAATCATTACAGCTGTATTCTTTATAACCACGGAGTGTAAGGGAATTTGCACAAACAAGAGTGAAATCTTGATACTTTGGTTCAACAACATGTAAAGTGGGTCTCTGACTTTTACCATTTTCATCTAATTCTTTCAAGCATCCTAACAATACTAACTGATTTTCTAAAGGTGCAATACCAGAAATGTAAAAATCCACTTGGAAAGTTGAAACTAAAATCAGTTGAAAAGTTGTATATTATTATTACATAATATTTAATAATATTTATTTTAATAGATATAAAATATATACCTGGATCCACTACAAATTCTGGTAGGTCTCTGTTAACCATTTCCTGTATTGATCTCTTTCTAATTTGACAAATTCGTACTATATCAACCCATCCAATTAATAATGTTCTATCATCAGACCATCGAAGATTACATCTATAGTGCTCTGGTAATGTACTGTGTAGAATATTATATGATGAAAAATTATCATATAGAAATAATGTATCACTTTTTTACTTACTCAGCAGATCTAGTCCATTTAATAAGACCTAATGAACATTTGGCATTTAAATCATAAATTCTGACACCAGTGTCAGATGCCCAAGCCACAAAGTGTCCAATCCACGCAATTGATCTTACTCCACCTTCTGCATCACATAATACAGTTAGTTTCATTCTGGATAAAAATGTTTTTTCATACAAAACCAACTTATCATCCCCTAGAAATAATTTTCATTTCTGAGAAGCTAATTGTTAAATGTAATTTAGAAATTAAATATATGGAACAAAATAACCACCTGTAATAAATCTTCTCCCACTACCACTTTTATAATAATTTGGATCTATAGCTATGCTTTTGACTAATCTACCCATGCTCATATTGTGATTATTTTCTGTGCTGTAAAGACCATATATAAAAACTTTTCCATCATCACTACAGGATGCAATGAAATCTCCATTGTGGTCTATAGAAATCTGGTTGACAGCAACTGTATGCGCTTGTAAACTTTTTGATTGTATATTATTTCCTTGATGATCTAAAAGATGTATCATACCCCAGTGTGAGCCCAGACATAGGAACTAAACAAAAATTAAATCGCTGTGACAAGCAGTAATACAGTGATAACAATGTATTATCACGCAAATAGTTAACTAAGTATTAAAATCTCAACTGTTTCACTATGCTTAACCTTGATAGCATAGAATAATTGTTAAGTTAACTATATTTACATAATTTTTACAAAGTATTAGCAATCATGGTTCACACCTTAGGATGCACAGCAATGCAACTAGCTGCATCATTTTGTAATATATGTTGCAGATCGTTTCGTACCCTGACGTATTTAAGTCTAGGCTCTACCTCGTCTACCTCAGAATCTGAATCATCCTGGTTATTCTGTTCTTCCTAAAAAATATAATTTCACACGAATAACAATGCCCATAATGTTATGCCGTCAAAGAATCGTAAATAATACCTTATTCGAGGTATTATCCATGCCCGTTTTTTTAAATTCTCGAATTATAAAGAAGATTTTCAATGTTCGTAACCACGAAATGTCAAAATCTTTTTCTGATATACGTTTTAGTTATGTGTCATAAACTCTCCTTTTTTTAATTTCGTTTCGTTATTTTGACTTTATATTAATTTACATCGTGAAAGTATTATAAGAGAAGTGAAAAACTTTTAAAAATACATTTTCAATAAATATAATTTTACAAAAAGACAGACATGCTAATACAGTAGGTCTTTTCTAACGGGCTATACTAGTAAATATTAGTACAGACTACAGACTACAGATTACAGTATTATTTCGTTTGTGACGAAAGGTTAGTGGTCAGTCAGTGCTAGGTTTACTGATTATTATTGTTACACGAAAACAACGAAAATATTGTTTTTCATTGTTAACTATTCATTGTGTTATATAAATATACAGTTTTTCGACATAAACTTAAAATGTCCATGAATAATTCTAATTCTAATAGCCGGTCGTTTGCACGATCACCGCAACAACGTAAAGAGATTTTGAGGAAGATTATAACTAGAGCTCAATCTCTACGTAAGATTTTTAATAATGTGGCTTATAAGAAAAATAAATATTATATTCGATGTTAAATTTTATAGAGGAAGCACTTAATGATGACACTATAAATAATCTAGAATTATGTATGAAAGAAACAGATAATATAATCTCTGAAACAAGCTTAGACGAAAAGAGTATGTTGAACTTTTAAATGTATTTTTCTTTATTTGATTTCTCTAAATATATGCTTCTAATTGTATATATCATCTTTTAGTGCATAATCAAGAAGAAGTACTAATGGACTCAGAAATGATGAGCCTATCTTCTAATGTTTTAAAACAATGTACAAGATCATTGACAAAACGTGTATGCTCATATAATCATATAGAATTTGCCCAAAAATTGGTATGTGCTGCATCAATAAATGCTACTACTAATTAATAATTATTCTTAAATACGTTATTTTTTAATTTAGGTGCAATATGTAAAACAACTTCCTGATGTTGAATCAGAAATACCAAATTGGTCGCTTCTAGAGTCACGAGTTATAAAATCCTTTAAAAAAACATCCCATTATACCACATTATTAGGTTTCTATCAGATATAAAATTTCTGATTAATATTAAGAACGTAATATATTTTTGTTCTTTTATATTTTTAGGTACTTTGGTACCATTAGAAAAGAAGGAAATTAACAGAAGAAAACCAATAGTTAGAGAAACTCAAGCACAAATAAAAAAGCCAGATAATGTGGTAACAGTTGAAAAAGAAGAAGAAAGTGCGGAGCAAACTGTAAAAATGAACAAAATTATCTCCAAGTATTATAAAACCTACCACAAACCACTAGACTTTTTTAAATTAGTTCTAAACCCAGATGACTTTGGGAAAACTGTTCAAAATATTTTACAAATATCCTTTCTTATTCGAGATGGACGGGTAGTAGTAACAAAAGGTAATATTAGTCCTGACAGTTATAAAAAAAGTCGTAATTTTTGTTTATTAAATGTTATTTTGTTGACAGATGCATCTGGAGTACTTGTTGTTCAACCATGCTCTAAAGACAAAACTCAGGAAAAGGTAGGAAAAAGGCCAAATATTCAAAACGTGATGTATCTAAACATGGAACAATGGAAGGTAACACTAGAACTCCACATATATAATTAAATGTTACTCTAAATTAAATATTTTATATTTCAGATCTTAAAGAACACTTATCGGTTAAAAAAACCAATGATTGATTGTGATACTGAAACATTGTGACATAACTTTTAAATATTTTTTATTAAAATTGAAATTATTTTAATAAAATAAATAAATAAAAAACTATATTTCTTTTATTTATTTGAAAGTAAAATAATTCTTTTTCTATTTTCTTGTCTAATTAGAAGATGTTTTGCAAAAAATGGAAAATTTTTAAATTGTATATTTATCTGTATATTTTTGTAAAATTTTTATTAATTCCTAACATATACTATAATGTTAAAGTATATGTTGAATAACAATGCTGGTTTGATCTGTAAGTAATGAAAACATCCGAAACAAAATTATAAAGTTCATATACAATTTATGATTATGTTCCTGATGTCCTCGATAAATTTCCATACTTTTTATGTAATTTCAAACGAAAAACAATCTTCTAATCCCCTTTGGAAAATTGTTTAAGTTAGTTATTCTTTTGGATGAATGCCAATATTTCTAAATAAAAAAGAAAGAGGCCTCTATTATTAGAAGATCGTTTTAATTACTTTTTAATGACATGATTATGATGACTGTGAATCAAATTTATTGTTTTGCCAACGATTCTGCTTTCGCTACTACTTCTTCAATCGGTCCAACCATATAGAACGCGACTTCTGGTAAATGATCATAATCTCCACCAAGGATTTTCTGGAATCCTTTGATGGTTTCTTCTAATGGTACTAATTTTCCGGCGTGGCCAGTGAACACCTCAGCAACCTAGATGCAAAAGATTAATTAATAGAAACGACACATTATGGAATAACATCTATAAATATTAACATCAGAAAATATATGAATATACCTGGAATGGTTGAGACAAAAATCTCTGAATCTTACGCGCACGCGCTACAGTTAGTTTGTCTTCTTCCGATAATTCATCCATACCTAAGATGGCAATAATATCTTGTAATGATTTATAATCCTGTAAGATTTTTTGTACACCACGAGCAACATTGTAATGTTCAGGACCGATGATGTTAGGATCCATGATACGAGAAGTGGAGTCGAGCGGATCAACAGCAGGATAGATACCTATGATATCGGATAAAATTATAAATTTTCATACAATTTGATTTTATTAACCATGAAAGTTACATATACTTACCCAGTTCAGCAATAGCTCGAGATAATACAGTTGTCGCATCCAAGTGAGCAAAAGTGGTGGCAGGAGCAGGATCTGTCAAATCATCAGCAGGTACGTAAATAGCCTGCACAGATGTAATTGATCCTTTCTTTGTTGTCGTAATACGTTCCTGCATGCTACCCATATCAGTTGCCAATGTTGGCTGATAACCTACAGCAGATGGAATACGACCTAACAAGGCCGATACCTATAAAATAGAATAATTTTTAATAAAAATAACAACGTTTATGTTTAAATTATAATATATACCTCGGAACCAGCTTGAGTAAACCTAAAGATGTTATCAATGAACAATAATACATCCTGTCCTTCTTGATCTCGGAAATATTCAGCGACGGTTAAACCAGTCAAAGCGACACGAGCACGAGCGCCTGGCGGTTCATTCATTTGACCATATACCAAAGCTACTTTAGAAGTTTTATCTTTCAACGAAATGACACCAGATTCAATCATTTCATGGTACAAGTCATTGCCTTCACGAGTTCGTTCACCTACACCGGCAAAGACGGAGTAACCACCATGGGCCTTTGCTACATTATTGATTAGTTCCATGATCAATACAGTTTTTCCGACACCAGCACCGCCAAATAAACCTATTAATTAAACAATAAAAATCAATAAGAGATTGCGTACCATTCCATATTATAAGTGTAAATTGATTTGCAAATAATAAATTTTACCAATTTTTCCCCCTTTAGCATAAGGTGCAAGAAGATCCACAACTTTTATTCCTGTTACCAAAATCTCCTGTTCGACAGACATCTCTACGAATTCAGGAGCATCTGCATGAATGGGAGCAAGTTTGTCAGTTGGAATAGGTCCACGTTCATCAATTGGTTCACCAATGACATTAATAATGCGACCCAATGTCTCAGCACCAACGGGAATACGAATTGGATATCCAGAATCCAAGACAGTTTGTCCACGAACCAGACCTTCAGTACCTATACAATTGCATTTTAATAAAAGTAACAACTATTTATATGGAATGCTCTCTATATTTTCAGTATCAGAACATGAAATTACCATCCATAGCAATAGTGCGCACTGTGTTTTCTCCCAAATGCTGAGCTACTTCAAGGACTAGCCTAGGAGTGCGATTTTGGACTTCCAAAGAATTGAGAATGGGAGGGAGGGCATCATCAAATTGTACATCAACAACTGCACCAATGACAGCAACGACCTTTCCTTGAGCACCACCCTTGGAACTTGCAGCTTTTGCATAATCTCTGCCTAATTGTAAAAAATTACTTTAAATACTTGCTTTACAATTGGCTATATTATACATATAAGATATTGTTTATATTGCAATAATATCTCCTAAATTTGATAATAATACAAAAAGATCATAATTAATCTTTAAAATGTTTAAATATTAGATAATGCTTCTGAAAGGTAAGTTACATAATACAAACTACATGTGTATGCTTTACAGAAAACCTATATATTTTACGTTCTGTATTATTTTTTATTTCAAATCTAAATCTCATATTAAGTACTATTTACTGTTTAGATGTAACTGTTTAAAACAACGTATTGAAAGACACTGAGATATCTACTACTGCACAAGACCAAACGAAAGTAGTCAAGAAAATCGAAAAAATATTATTCTTTATAATAATAAAGAGTGAAACATAATTAAAATTCGATTAAAATTTAGGTAACAATTAAACGAATGACTACAGTTCTACTAGTAAATTATTTCAATATAGCCAAAAATTAATCGATGACCTTAATGCCGCCATGTTGCACAGTGAAGTTACCATTACGATTTCGTCAAATAATATGTATTATATAATCAATAAAATACATCCTTCTCATAATATTTACGTCAATTGAGCAAGGAAGAATTACTTTCCATTGAAGTATATATATAAAAAAAAAAGAATAACAAACCATGCGAACTAGTAACGAGCAACGAATATCGTCTAGAATAGAATCTGACACAGCACAGTGTTGTGAACCGAATAAAAACGAATGTCAATGAAAGTTAAAGAGTATTTTTTTTTTTTTAATACTCACTATTTACTGACAATGCACCGGAAATTTTAGCAACTTCATTTTGAAGAAGGGTGGGTTTGACGGCCCTTAAGGCACCAGCAGCTGCTTTCGACACGACGTTCAACATCTTACACCGGCCAAGTGAAGAAGAGCGACCGGAATGCTCTCCGATTCGTACTCGTACGGACTGTACCCTGTATTAACGGCGTATGCGCACACGTGAAATTCTGCTTCTACGCATATCTCTAGCGCATCTTCATTATCAAATTGTCCTCCTATTTTTAAGCCGTGTTCTTAAAAAATTACTGTTTCCCATTTTCCTTTTTCTAAGTTACAATACGATTGGATGAAACTATTCGCTTAATGAAGAGCTCGATTTATTATTATGTAACTATACGCGCTGCACTTTGTTAGCAATTCGACTTATATTTGTATTCTATTCGTTAGATCATATGGCATGAGTGTGGTTGTACAGTTCTGTACAAGAAGCCGGTTAAATTTTAATTTATATTGATAAATCTTTAGAAAAGCAGATAAAAAATGGTCGAGGAACAACAGAAACGAGTTGAAGAGCACACTAGCAGGATAGTAGAAGAAATTGATAGATCAATGAGAAAGATGAAGGTGCTTTGAGCTTACAGTATTTTTAGGTTATATCGCGAAACACGCGCGTTTGTAACTTTGTATTATCGAATGAAATTATGTAGACGTGAATTTATAACTTAAAAAAGATGACAAGCTTAGTGGATTGGACAGTAAGGAGATTTTTTATGTTTAAATTTTAGGGTGAAGCGTACAGATGTGCTGCGACTTGTTGTGATAACGAAACTTTTAGCATACAACGAGTACAGAACTGTGTACAAAACTGCAATAGTTCCTTGGACGAAGCTCAAGAATATGCTAGAGAAGAACTGGAAAGGGTCCAAGTACGTTTCGTTGTCTATCATTTTCTAAACAAAACTGAAAATTAACAGAACATCTAATAATTATTATTTTATAGAATCGATTGCAGAGGTGCGTTATGGATTGTAATGACAAAATAAAAGATGCAGCGGGACCAAATCCATCACAGCGTGATATGGAAAAATATAGTGAAATATTTGACCAGTGTGTAAAAAAATGTGTGGATCACTATTGCGACACATTGCCTATTTTACAAAAAACAATGAAAAATGTTTTATCTGAAAAAAAGTACCTTCGCTCGCATAAATAAAACTTATTGCAAATAAAAAAATAGTTATTATTCTGCATTACACTGCCGATACTTTGTGTATTATTACATAAAATTTATATATATTTGTTTTTTGTTTATTTAATTATTTCATAAGATATCCATTTCAATGATACATTTTTTTTTAAATTGCATTTACATGTAAAAAGCATCTTTGTATAAATCATATTTTGTACAAAAGGAAAAGTAGAGATTAACAAATTTCATGATTACTGTATTTATTCATTAATACACTTGATGATTGCAGTGGTACATTTTCATTTCTCTTTTTCTTTTTCTCTCTCATTCTCACTCTCCCTCTCTCTCAGCCTTTCTATTTCATTTTTAACGTAATAACAAATTCACTGTTGCAATTAATATCATTTCTTTATTGTTACAATAGACTTACGCTTATTGCACACTTTTTTTTTTAATGATATAAAATCTTTTCACCACTCTCGCTCAATACAAAATAATCGGTCAAAATATGTTGCGTAAATTTTGTTCTAAACTGTTGACAATCTGCGAATAAACCGTTTTAAATAATAATAATTTAAATATAAATATTAACAAAACATAATTCGTTTGTTTCTTCACGTGTACAAATTTCTATAAAACTAGCCATTGGGCTTGTTAGTTTTCTTTCATTTTTCTGTTTCTGAAAGAATCATTGTTCATGTTCAATTCTTATCGTAGCTGCAAAACTTAAAGTGGTTCGGTGCACTTTTTTGCGCAATGTAGGTATGAGCGAAGTGCAATTTTTTTTTCCTTTTGCAATGTAACAGCCCTTCGCTGATATGCAAACTCGCAAAAATTCTCGACGAGAGTGATTACATTTCAAGTAACGACACAACTTCTCGCTTGTCACCTTCTTTTTTTTTGTCTTTTTTATTCATTTTTTTTTTTTTTTTTTAATACGCGTCTCAAACTCCTAAATGCGACTCGTACATGTGTCGATTATGACTCAATGTCGTCAAATGGAATGGCATGAGTTCTTGTTCTTTTGAAAATGTCAATTTTCTCAGAGATGTCTATAAGTGAATGCTGCGGTATTCATTCTGCACGTGGCGTCGCACGGATTGAGAAAAAAGGTCTATGTAACATTTTATATCCCAATCAATCAGACTCTTCGGACTAGATTTTTTTTCCCCTTTTAATAAGATTGAAATTACGCGCTTCTTTATCAAACGCTGGTCATATGTGAATAACTGTAGGTACATCTGGTAGAAAAAGAATTGAAGGTACAAGGTGAATGTAAGTTATGGCGCTGTGGCAAACAAATTTGGCCAGTGCGTTTCGCCCTTATAAAAAAATTTTAATTCCAATTGTTTGCGCATTATGTTCTTTTCTTCTTCTATCCTTTTCGTAGAAACTGAATTAAATTCGACAATGGTACAAAACAAGACAGGTACCTACATATTCTGCTTTAGATTTTGAGGTATATTCAGATATATCACAAAATACAAAGAACAGCGGTTAATTTTCTTTATATATATATATATATATATAAATATATATATATATAAATATATATATATATTTATATACATATACACATATATAAAGGAAGTTCCTCCGTTTCTTTCAACTGTGCAAAAATCGAAAATGTCGGGCAAATTTATTTTTGAAATCCTTTCATGCAGTAATAAACTTGATTCATAAAAATTCAACTAACAAAGCTCTTAAGGCAGAATAAAAATCACTTTGATTCACCGTCAATTAATCTCTTTCTTTAAAGAGCAAAAAGTTACGTTTTTTTTTCTTTTCTTTTAAACATCATGGACAAGTAGTTTTAAATACCCATCCTTGTTTGAAGCCCAATGCGAAACATATAAGAGTACTGGTCAAGTTTGCCGGAACACCCATTCGAAAAATTCTAAATAGAACTGCATTTCTTGGTCCTATCCTAAACTATCGATTGTAAATTAGTTTCTTCGATCTTCATTGCTTAATTAATATCGTGTTTAATTGTGCACCTGCAGAATGGAACATTCCAGGTATCCTATCAGCAGGTTCACCGTACTATATGCCTATGATCGCGGAGCAAAACAGTCGTTTTCGTAGCTGTGTGCAACTAGTTATTTTTCTTTCTTTCTTTCTTTTTTTTTTTTTTTTTTTTTTTTTTTTACGATCTTCAGATTTTCTGCGTGTCTCTTTGTTCTTTGAAATAGATCTCAAGTTTCTCAGAAAATAGTGTGTAGTTGTTAACAACATTCTCTGCGCCGTATATATTAAATGGTAGGCGTTACGAACTCGCTGCGTTGCTTACCGTATCATCACCGCAACTTTGCCTAATATGGCTGACATAAGGCTTGACCCCGTCGTTACGAACTTTCCCTCTACTTACATGGATATTCAATTTGTACTTTGAAATTGAGTCAACTATTTATTTCCTTCGTGAACTTTGGTAGAATCCAGTTCCCACATGGTTACTGCGCAGCTTGACGCGAATTGAAAGAAAGCTTTGGACGATCTTACTGTACTTACACGGAGAGGACGTACTCGTGTGTTAATACCTAGATGTTACAGATTAATCAGTTCAGATAATTATACACGGATGGTTTTATCGCGATGATATTCATCGAGAAATCTCCAGTCGCCGTGTGGTAACTGTTTCGATCAAAGCACAATTTTTAACCCGCTTACAAAAAATTCGAACGCCGCGGACAAGCCTTTCATTTCAATTAAATAATAACTTTGTTAGCCGACCTAGCTAATCTGCGTTTAAAAAAGAAACATCAAACAACTAGGAAGAAAGACTACTGATTTTTAAAGAAGAGAGTGCGTACTTTTAGGTAGAATAGGTAAGTATCTTCGAAGTCGATTGAATACGTGAGAATCTTCGGTGTATATTTTATAACTTTTTTTCGTTTCGTCATTTGGCACTCGAGCCTCGAACATCATCGCTTATATTTTTAATTCATGATATACGTCGAAATTACACAATGATCCCACTACAGCGAAAAAGAAATTTCACTTCAAAACGTTTCTCTTTCATACTCTGCTTTCACTAAAATTTTTATATATATATATGAAAAAAAAAAGAAGAACAATAAAATTTCCCTATACGCTATTCAGTTGTTCACTAAATTCCAAGTACAAAGCGCAATAATTAGCCTCATCGACTACGAATGACTCTCACGCATTCCTCAGGCTCCTATCACGTACATGTTTTTTTTCTTTTTTTTTTCTTTTTCTTTTTTTAAACGGTGGGGCTACCTATGATGACTTTTTTTTTTTACGTTGGAAAAGAAACTTCGTTGGAGCGTTAAAAACTCCAAGCGGAAAAAAAAATATGGAAAAAAATATATAGTCATGTAGAGAGTAACAGAAATAACGCGAGCAGCCCCTTTGCTCTTCGGTCTACGTTGCATAAAACCAAGTCGCGTTTAAAAAAGGCTTAGAACACACTTTGAATATCGATCCCTGTAGGCGAATGAGACAACTCGCATCCAGTGGTGCACGTATTCACCCGCTAACTCTAAAAAGAAGAACAACATCGTGTTCCCTACTCTCGCTCGCGTTCAGTTATCCCTTTTATAAAATTAAAAAAAAAAAAAAAAAAAAAAAAAAAAAAAAAAAAAAAAAAAA